TCGGTTTTGGCCGAAATTGACTTAGACTTTCGGCCTCTGGCCGAAAGTGACTGAGGTTTTCGGTCATCTAATTCTCAGCAAAAGCGATATTTAACAACAAACTTCGCGACATTTAAGAACCAACTAAACGATCTTTAAGAGCAAATTAAGCGATCTTTAAGAACAAACTAAACGATCTTTAAAAAAATAAAGTGATCTTTAAAAACAAATAAAGCGATCTTTAATAAAAAAACTAAACGATCTTAAAGAACAAACTAAGCGATTTTTAAGAACAAACTAAGTGATCTTTAAGAACAAAACAAATGATCTTTAATAGTAAACTAAATGATTTGTAAGAGTAAACTAAATGATTTGTAAGAATAAACTAAGCGATCTTTAACAGAAAACTAAATGTTCTTTAGGAACACACTAAAAGATCTTTAAGAACAAACTAATCGATTTTAAGGAACAAAATCAATTATCTATCAGAACAAACTAAGCGATCTTTATGAAAAAACCAAGCGATCTTCAACATCAAAATAAGCGATCTTTAAGAACAAACTAAACGATTTTTAATAACAAACTAAAAGATCTATACAAACAAACTGAATGATCTTTAAGAACAAACTGAATGATCTTTAAGAACAAACTGAATGATCTTTAAGAACAAACTGAATGATCTTTAAGAACAAACTGAATGATCTTTAAGAACAGCTAAGCGATATTTAAGAACAAAATCAATGATCTTCAACAACAAAATAAACGATCTTTAAGAACAAACTAAACGATCTTTTACAACAAGATGTTATATTAGATGTTTATTTATTAATATTCACGATTATCTCATTTTTTAAATAAAAAGAATGTAAATGTTTTATTTTTATACTTTCCCCCATCATTTTCAATATTGTCATTTCATTTTAATTACTAGTTTGAAGTGGGCACGTTTCACTTGTATATACATTTTCAAAAGTCAGCGATGGGTCATGGGGATCGATATAACCGAGGTTAAGTTGGCCGCCTTTTGTGCTCGAGATATCAGAGCTTGGCGACATAAAAGAATCGACACAACCGAGGAGAAAATGCTTAGACAAAGAGAGACTTTGGCGGTTCCACTTCAAAAAACGTCGACATAACAGGGTTGGCGAGTAAACCGAGGTCGAGATAAGTGGCTAGTTAACCGAGGTCGAGATAAGCGGGTTCGACTGTACCTGTTATGAGCTTGTGGTCAATATTATTTTAAACTGATCGCTTATTTATTTTGTTTCATTATTGTTTGCATACTAATGTGTGCTATTGTTTTTATTATCTTTAACAGAAGTACCTGTCCTCTTTTTAATATCCACCTATTAGCAAGGATGTTCGCATATAAGTAAAAAAAAAATAAAACATTGATTTATGTGAAGCTGAGACGGGAGGGGGGGGAGAGGAGGCTATATTAGTCTTGTTCCAGCACTTAATAACCCTCTCGGTGGCTCTGCTCGTAAGACTAAGTAGAGGCCAACTAATTTTCATAATCATATGGCCAAAGAAATGGGAATCAGTCGCGAAAAGAATGTGAAAATAACAAATAATAGTAACAGACATGACCCATGTAACAGACAAGACCAGTGTAACAGACAGGACCCATGTAACAGACAAGACCAGTGTAACAGACAGGACCCATGTAACAGACAAGACCAGTGTAACAGACAGGACCCATGTAACAGACAAGACCAGTGTAACAGACAGGACCCATGTAACAGACAAGACCAGTGTAACAGACAGGACCCATGTAACAGACAAGACCAGTGTAACAGACAGGACCCATGTAACAGACAAGACCAGTGTAACAGAAAGGACCTATGTAACAGACAAGACCAGTGTAACAGACAAGACCCGTGTAACAGACAAGACCAGTGTAACAGACAGGACCAGTGTAACAGACAGGACCAGTGTAACAGACAGGACCAGTGTAACAGACAAGACCAGTGTAACAGACAGGACCAGTGTAACAGACAGGACCCATGTAACAGACAAGACCAGTGTAACAGACAAGACCAGTGTAAGAGACAGGACCCATGTAACAGACAAGACCAGTGTAACAGACAAGACCAGTGTAACAGACAAGACCAGTGTAACAGACAAGACCAGTGTAACAGACAGGACCAGTGTAACAGACAGGACCAGTGTAACAGACAGGACCCGTGTAACAGACAAGACCAGTGTAACAGACAGGACCAGTGTAACAGACAGGACCCATGTAACAGACAAGACCAGTGTAACAGACAAGACCAGTGTAACAGACAGGACCCATGTAACAGACAAGACCAGTGTAACAGACAAGACCAGTGTAACAGACAAGACCAGTGTAACAGACAAGACCAGTGTAACAGACAGGACCCATGTAACAGACAAGACCAGTGTAACAGACAGGACCCGTGTAACAGACAAGACTAGTGTAACAGACAGGACCCATGTAACAGACAAGACCAGTGTAACAGACAGGACCCGTGTAACAGACAAGACCAGTGTAACAGACAGGACCCGTGTAACAGACAGGACCAGTGTAACAGACAGGACCCGTGTAACAGACAAGACCAGTGTAACAGACAGGACCCATGTAGCAGACAAGACCAGTGTAACAGACAGGACCCATGTAACAGACAAGACCAGTGTAACAGACAGGGCCCATGTAACAGATAGGACCCATGTAACAGACAAGACCAGTGTAACAGACAAGACCAGTGTAACAGACAGGACCAGTGTAACAGACAGGACCCGTGTAACAGACAAGACCAGTGTAACAGACAGGACCAGTGTAACAGACAGGACCCATGTAACAGACAGGACCCGTGTAACAGACAAGACCAGTGTAACAGACAAGACCAGTGTAACAGACAGGACCAGTGTAACAGACAGGACCCGTGTAACAGACAAGACCAGTGTAACAGACAGGACCAGTGTAACAGACAGGACCCATGTAACAGACAGGACCCGTGTAACAGACAAGACCAGTGTAACAGACAAGACCAGTGTAACGGACAGGACCCGCGAATAGTTTTGTTCAGGTACTCCCAAACATTGCTTATGGGTCCCGTACTTGAAAACTTACTTTTCTTTCTCTTAAAACAAATCAAACAGAGTTGTCAGCCCATTTCCTGGCCACTGATGCCTTTGTGGCCAGTAATGCCACTGATGCCACTGATGCGATTGATGCCACTGATGCCACTAATGCAACTGATGCCACTAATGCCACTAACGCCACTGATGCAACTGATGCTACTGATGCCACTAATGCCACTGACGCCACTAATGCCACTGATGCCACTAATGCCACTGATGCCTTTGACGCCAGTAATGCCACTGATGCTACTGATGCCACTAATGCCTTTGATGCCAGTAATGCCACTGCTGCCACTGATGCCTTTGATGCCAGTAATGCCACTGATCCCACTGATGTCACTGATGCTACTGATGCCACTAATGCCTGTGATGCCAGTAATGCCACTAATACCACTAATGCCACTGATTCGCGTTACCGTTATGCGTTATATTTTTTTTAGAAAATGGCTTCCGAAACCTAAAGTTCCAATGGTTACCTTAGCAACCCTTTCCATTGAACTAACTATTGTAGGCGCGAGTGTTCAGTTCACAGAATAGTTTACAAGGGAAAGTAAGTAAGTAGGTATTGATCGGGACAGACAGGGGGGAAAACCGGACGAAAGCCATATTTCTGGAAAGCCACCCGACTGGGGCCTTAAAAGAGGACATGTCCTGGGAATGCCAGACGCGTGGTAACGCTGGCCATGTAGGAAGTTTCTTGTGTTGTAGGGCGTGCGATAAAATGCCTAGTTTTTCAATGACGCGCAAGCTAGTCAAATATTAGTATAACATAATGGCTCTACAACAGTGGCTCTCAAGTTTTTTTTCCCCGGCAGTCGCCCCTTAGTTTCTTAGGCCACTATAAGCATTTATTTGCAGAAAAGTCTCTGGCACAAGTCTGTAATGAACGTAATAAGAGTGTCAAACAATTAGACATGTTTAAAGATGAAATCAAACGACGAAGGGAGATGACACCAACAACTTTCCACCAGCCAAGATAACGACATGCAGTTGCTGTCTGGGTTAAATACTCTTGATACACATTCTTCAGTTTTATTTTTTGCTGTCGACCCATTCTTGAACTTTTATATTAAAAATAAATGACAAAAACACTCAGACCTATCTTTAGGTTGCATTTCCAAACACCGTTAAAATTTTGCTACGGATTTCATTTTATTCAAAATAAAGATTCACCCGTTTGAAAACTTCTATCTAAATATTAATAATATCGTTTCCTCAGAGTAAAAGAAGTTATTGTTTAATGTTATTTAATTTCTGTTTGCAGTTGTGCGAGCTAATAAAAAAAATATAGACATTTGTCACGAATTGAGGCAGGAATGGTATGGAGTTTTTCCCAGTCCGTATTTTAAAAGAATAATGTTACATGAACTTATTATTATTTTTTTTTTGGTATGAAATAAAATATCTTTTTACACCTTTTTACGTTGTAAAATAAATATAACTATAAATTTGTCTGTGTAAAGTGTAACGAAATATTTTTGAAATTCGCAAATGTGGAACGTGCTGTACGAATCTATTTAACTAATGACCAAAATCATACTCTGTCACCGAAAAAAAATCATTAAATTAAAATTCTGTTTTTTAAAAGTAGACTAAGCTTTAAAAGAAATATTTTAAAATTGCTTTAAATAAATAAAAAAACAACAACATGTATATATATATATATATATATATATATATATATATATATATATATATATATATATAAAAAAAAATATATAAAAATTGATTTAAATAAATAAAAAAAAAACAAAATATATATATATATATATATATATATATATATATATATATATATATATATATATATATGTTATTGTGCTGAGTATCGCTTTAGTCAAATGAGACCAATGTCATTGCGTCAACTCCATGAGACTGTACGATACGATACAAACATAAACTATGTAAAGCCGTGTCAAATTTCAAATTGTTTTATTGTAACATTGACGTTATAAATGCACTTGATAAAAATAAATAAGAAAGCAAAATATCAACATTTGTACATAATATTGTCGGAAGAAATAAGTAAATTACGGCACACATACTTTGAAATAGAATACAAGACATTTTTGAGTAAATGCCATGTAACAAAGAATTAACAACTTGAAATGTCATGATGCGCAAGAGAAGATTGTACCAACATGCGTGCCATTCTTCCACATGTTATTCAGACATTCAGTCATACCTGACTTTCAGTTGACTTAATCTAATTGTGTACCTCACACGTGAACAGCGTGGCGTCTGTGTGGCTGACATCTTGGCCAGCAAGACTTCTGTGTGGCTGACATCTTTGCAGCAAGACTTCTGTGTGGCTGACATCTTTGCCAGCAAGACTTCCGCTGAGCGCTTGGCGAGATACAAACATGATTTCTTGTTTGAAGTTCAGCCAACATTATATTTATTGTACAACCACGATTCAGGGCATTTAAAAAAACAAGGAATGTGTCAAAACATAAACATTGTTTCACTCGGGCGTGACGAGCATGTCAAAATTTCGAAAAGATTACAGTGGATTAATGACAAGATTACATGATTCACTGGCTTAATAACAATTTTGACTCAGTTTGTGATAATATTTACAATTGTGGACTAGCATCTGGTAATCTCAATCTTTGGTGATCTAGATCTGTAATGTACACAAAATCGTATCCGGAAATTTGATCGAAAGAAATTTCGTCGACGGTAAATTGATCGAAGGTAATTTGATCGAACGGAAATTTGGTCGAATCTATTTTTCAGTTTTTACGTTAACATTTTGCTTGAAATTACTTTTTGATCGCATTCTTTTGTTTTACTATATTACCGTCTATCATTTTACCGTCGAAAAAAATTCTTTCGAACAAATTTCCTGTAACCCACAAAAACACATCATCAATGTTATACAAACAAATAAAACAAGTGACGTGTTATCGTTTGCATATGAAAAATAAACCAATATACATATGTACATAAATAAAAACATTTGTACAAGTTATATTTAGAGAAAATATTTACAGATTTGTTTGTACATAACTTACTGCAAAGTCCGAGTTTAAGTTGGTCGAGTAATCATAAAAAAATTCATTTATTCTGACTTAACCCACATTTTAAAAAGCCAATTCCTCCTTTAAAACTAAACCACACATTCAATATTTCAACCATTCATTTATCAGTTATTCACCATCAATCGCACTACTTTCTTTCTTCAGTGACGCAATTTTACGTCATCACATGACGTCACAACCAAGGGATGCGGACGATTATAAAATAGATATCTTTACCAACGGAGCACCAGTGACGAGAATTGCGCGTATGAATACATGAAAATAATGATACAAATATATAGCACTGAGTATTGTGAACGATCAAATCACGTTCAGACCAGATTGTGCATATCGATACAAGCAATTATAAAACAGTTATTATGTATTTGGGATTGGTCAGGGGGAGGGGTCTAACAATTCAATGCTGACATTGTCATGAAAACCCCATGAGTCACTTTATGGAGGAACATTCAAGTAAATATAGAATTAAAAAAAATAATAATAAAACATCGAGTTTTAAAAGGGGGTAAACATTCCTGAGATTGATTATTCTAAACAATTGTAAAAGTGAGTCTCAAGTTGCTCAGCTGAACTACAAGGGAGTCTCAAGTTGCACAGCTGAGCAAAGAGTCAGTCCCAAGTTGTACAGCCAAACTACAAGGAAGTTTCAAGTTGTACAGCTGAACTACAAGCGAGTCTCAAGTTGCACAGCTGAACTACAAGTGAGTCTCAAGCCGAACTACAAGGAGCACAAGAACTCCATAATGTAGCCGGAGTAATCAGAGTCCACCGTGACCTTACTGATGACCCTTCTGTTGCCCAGCATCTCCACCCAGCTGTCCACGTACATGCGCCCGACCGTCTCGTCCAGCACCACAAAAATCTCCACGCCACCTTCAAGCAACAGCTGGACCTCTTCGGCGATGCTGGCAAACTCCGCCATGTTTTCTCCGTTGAGCAGGATGACCAAAGCTTTCTTTTTGGAGGCGTCTGTTTGGGAAATGCCCAAGTATTTGTTGAAGCTGCTTTCCTTCAAGTCAGGGGCGTTGACGGTCTCTTGGGTTCTCCATTCCTTGACGATGGCGTGCAGATTCGGCTTGAGGACCTTCTTGATGTGACGCAGCTTCTGCGAGGCGTCTTTGGGGCCGGTCAGCTGCATGTCCATGTTGGGTGCACATGTACCGGAAGTGACCCCGAGCTGAATGTCACCGGCCAAGTTCTCCAGTCTCTCTGAGATGGTTTTGATTTGTTCCAGTGCGTTGTGTCTTTCCTTGATGGTCATTGTGTTGGGGTCAAAGGCGAAGGTCAGTTCAGTAGGTCCACTTGCACAGACTGCCAAACGAACAAATAAATTTCATGGTTAAGTCTAAGCATCGAATTAGAACTGGACAGGAAGCTAAGAAAATGTAAATTATGATATTCACTAAGGCCAGTATTTTTATTTCGTAAAAAGGTTTGAAAATAATTAAAATTGAACTCGTTCACACACACAAAAAAAAGGATGTTATATTTTGCTTGTTGGTATTATCACAACAAAGAATATCTGTTTAAACTGAATTTGAGGGCAAACGTTTCTTACCAGGTTCATCATTCTGGGCCGTATCCCCACAGGCCTTAATGGCGAGGACGTCTCTCAGCTCAGACAAGGCTGAGAACCCGTCCACATTAAACACGTAGTCCTCCTTCGGTTCGTTGGCGATTGCCTCCAGTTCTTCTTTCTTCACTCCCTTGCCCACACCGATCGCGTACACCATGACGCCGCTGTCCTTCAGGAGCGCCGCTTGCTTCTTGGTCTCCCGCTCGTTCCACGACTGTCCGTCTGTGATGACCACGGCTATCTTAGTCACGCCGTCCCTGGGCGAGGTGCTGAAGCCGATCTTCCTGACTTCCCGGAGAGCCTCGGCCGTGTTGGTCCCGCCCAGCGTGTACTTGACGACAGACGGGGAGAGCGCTTTCAGCAGATCTTTCTTGGTGTCGTAGGAGTCAAGGTCGATGACGATCCTGGGGTCGTCACTGAAGGTCATGACCCCCACTCTGGTCAGATCCCCGCCGATGTCAAAGTTGGTCACTGTGTCGTGTACGAAGCCGACCACCCTCTTCTCAAAGTCTTGCCTCCAGATACTGCTGGACGAGTCGAGGATGAAGAACACGTCAGCTGGCTTCCCACCACATTCTGAAAATAACGTCAGGGAATGGTGGATTACAAAAAATGTTTATTTAAAGAAATGATTAAGCAAAAAAATTAAATGAGAACTTTAAACAGCTATACATTAAAACTTTATCAGCAATACTTTAGAATTTTAAACAGCTATGCATGAGAAATTTAAACAGCTATTCATTAGAATTTTAAACAGCTATACATTAGAACTTTAAAAAGCTCAACATTAGATCTTTAAACAGCTATACATGAGAACGTTGACAACTTATGAAATGAATTCATAGAGCAGCTAGTGAGATATCTCAATACATACTATTGTCCTCCAGAATTCAGGTCACACAATTACAACATAATATTGGCACAAGACATTAAAACATTGACTTACCACTTCGTGGAGGTGGAGTTGTGGTGGTCGTAGTTGTTGTTGTTGTAGTCGTTGGAGGCAAGGTCACTGAAATAATGCAACATGATGATTCGTTAGATAGTTAAAATAAGCAACCGAACCACCTTAATAATTAGTTTGTATTTTGTTTCGTTTCTTATTAACTTATTGATGAAAGTAAATTCAAAAGTTGGATCACAGTAGCTCACCTTCACATGTTTTAATAGCAAGCTCTTCTCTGATGCTCTGAAGGGCGGAATAATCTGTGACCTTGAATTTGAACTGGGAATCCGGTTTGCTGGCGATCATGGACAACTCAATGTCCTCAGCTGCACCAACTCCGATGGCGAAAATGGCCACGCCAGTCTGCCTCGCCTTCTCCGCTTCAATGATGGTGCTCGATTTTTTGCTGGACCGGCCGTCCGTCAGGACGATGATGATGTGGGCCACGTCGCTGCGGCCTCCGTTCTTGCTGGAGAACATGTTCGTGCTGGCGTAGTGGAGAGCTCTGTCCGTGTAAGTCTCCCCGCCCCTGACCTTGATTCTTGAGATGGCTTGGAGCAGTTTGTCCCGGCTGTGGTGGCCGTTGAGATGAAACTCCAGTTTGACGTCGCTGCTGTAGGTCAGGGCGCCGACGCGGGTCTGGCGGGGGCCGTCGCCAATGTCGAAAGCCGAGACGACGTCTTTGATGAAGGGGAGGGCATGACGTTTGAAGTCCACGGGCCAAATGGAGGAGGAGGAGTCGATGACGAAGACGACGTCGGCAGGCTCGCCGCACGGTTTGGTGACCGGACTGGCCAGGGAACCGGACTTGGTCATGGCCTGAAACGACAAACAGCAACATTCGGTCAAGGTTTGTTTCTCACCATTTTGATATTAACGTTTTATTTTTAACTCAACCGTTTCACGGAAGCCATATCCTTTACTCTTGTTGTGTTAGAGGATTTCATTTTCAATTATTTTAGAAATTTTTCTACAATACATTTTTATTGAGTTTTCACGATCCATGATTTCAAGTAGCCCGGTTTAAACGAATCGATACATACAATTTAATTATTTTTTTAAAAAAATGTATATATTTTTATTTGATTAAAGAAGGACAATATCAAAAGTAATTATTCAATTAAAAGCTGTGTATATTTCTAAGGAGAGAAACTTAAATTGCTCCGAATTACTCATGAGATTAACATGTTGGATATTTTTAGCTCCACTGATTTGTAACAATGAAAACGTATACAATAATTTAATTATTGATTTAAAAAAAATAAATACATCATCAACTAGCTGCTTACCAAGATGAGAAAAAGTACGAATCCAATTAGTTTCATTTTTATTCCTGGTCTTCCAATTTTTAAAAAAAATGCTGTTGTTGCTAAAAGCTGTATAATTCCGATGCCACGTTGCCACACGGCGTATCAAACACCTGTTATCTGAGAAATGTTCACACAAGGTAGTCCTTAGCCTGTCAGTTTGATACCTGGTGCCGTGCTTGTCCCCCCTTATATACCAGCCTGACGAGGGGGCGATTCCCCTGTGACGTAGCCAGACATTCCGAGGTATTCCCACCCTCATTCTTCAGCACCCGAGGATTCCCCCCTCGGTCACGTGGCGTGCGCTGTGACGTCATTTAGTGACTATCGCTTCTCCCAAATATGGGCAGCACGTTTCCCGTAAAGTACTTTCTCCGTCGAGTGGCTTTTAAAACCTAAAGTGATACCAGGGCTGATTAACTTTGGGTTATCCCCACGACCCAAACAATCCCCTCCCCCGTTGGTCTGGTCACGTGACACTAGCACGCGGGCAACAGGGAATAGTTCACTGACTACCACTGATATTATGTGAAGCATTTTTCCTTCCAAATATTCAACCATCCTCATTATCTTTCAAGTATTTGATAACGGTCCTTTGCTTTGAATGAATTCAATTTTTTAAATATTGTATCGAGACACAACTTGAGTAAATTATTCATAGCTGGAGGTTGAAAATGCGCATTCAAATCTTAAAAAGTTCTGGTAAAATTAGTTAAAGAATGTGTTGGAGATTTCTGTAAAATGGTTATTAACTCTTAAGACAGAACTGTTCAATGCTGTACGGAGAGCTTCGTGTTTAAGTGAGTTGTCCCTTGATGACAGACAGCACGACGATTGAAGAGTCTCAAATCCAACAACTTGGACTTTAACTGGTTGTTTAATTTACCATTAAAAGCCCTTTTTGTGTCTAAGCCCTTTTTGTGTCTAAGCCCTTTTTGTGTCTAAGCCCTTTTTGTGTCTAAGCCTTTTTTATGTCTAAGCCCTTTTTGTGTCTAAGCCCTTTTTGTGTCTAAGCCCTTTTTGCGTCTAAGCCCTTTTTGTGTCTAAGTCCCGTTAAATACGATTATCAAACGTGCAATAGTTTTATTACATTCATATTTTGGGAAGATAAGGCTATAGTACTTCCTACATCTTAGTTTATTATTACATTCATCGTACAACTGATTGTCAAAAAGAATTTGGAAATCCGACGTAAAGGGGGAGGAGGGAATGGATGGAGCTGGATTAAGACCACTGTCACAAAATAGTTGAGATTTCGACGTCATTACCATTGTCACAAAATAGTTGAGATTTTAACGTCATTACCATTGCCACAAAATGGTTGAGATTTTGACGTCATTACCACTGTCACAAAATAGTTGAGATTTTAACGTCATTACCATTGCCACAAAATGGTTGAGATTTCGACGTCATTACCACTGTCACAAAATAGTTGAGATTTCGACGTCATTACCATTGCCACAAAATGGTTGAGATTTTGACGTCATTACCACTGTCACAAAATAGTTGAGATTTTAACGTCATTACCATTGCCACAAAATGGTTGAGATTTTGACGTCATTACAACTGTCACAAAATAGTTGAGCATTTGACGTCATTACCACTGTCACAAAATAGTTGAGAATTTGACGTCATTACCAATGTCACAAAATAGTTGAGATTTTGACGTCATTACCACTGTCACAAAATAGTTGAGATTTTGACGTCATTACCATTGTCACAAAAATAGTTGAGATTTTGACGTCATTACCATTGTCACAAAAATAGCTGAGATTTTGACGTCATTACCATTGTCACAAAAATAGCTGAGATTTTGACGTCATTACCACTGTCACAAAAATAGCTGAGATTTTGACGTCATTACCATTGTCACAAAAATAGCTGAGATTTTGACGTCATTACCATTGTCACAAAAATAGCTGAGATTTTGACGTCATTACCATTGTCACAAAAATAGCTGAGATTTTGACGTCATTACCATTGTCACAAAAATAGCTGAGATTTTGACGTCATTACAGTATTTTAATTATTTAAATTAATTTTGTTTTCTTTCCACATTTGTTTTTCCTTTCATTTGATTTGTAAAAAAAAAGTATTTCAAATGTTTTTAGACTTACTGAAGAAGCGCAAACCTTTCTTAAACAAATACATTCAGAGACAAAGGTTTCCGGGACTTGACGATGAAAGCAAAGATTCTTTAGAAACTGTTGATGTCACGTTGAACCAGTTGTTCAACCTACAACAAAGTTAAGAGTTCTGAAAAATGTGAACAAATGTGGACAAATGTGGACAAATGTAGACAAATATGGACACATGTGGACACATGTGGACAATGGGCAGGGGGTATCATGCTCAGGTCACATGATCAAATTTGCGTCAAATTTATTTTTGGACGCAATATTTCAGCCTAAACATTTTTAGAAGGTGGGGGCGCCAACATTTAGAACTGCCTAAGGCGCCAAAATTTATAACTGTCTGGGGCGTAAAAATTAAGAACTGTATGGGGCGCCAAAATTTATAACTGTCTGGGGCGTAAAAATTAAGAACTGTATGGGGCGCCAAAATTTATAACTGTCTGGGGCGTAAAAATTAAGAACTGTTTGTGTCCCCACAAAAATTAGAAATATCTGGTACGCCAGAAAGTAGACACTGCCCAGGGCGCCAAAATTGCTGAGGCGCGCCCTGCAAACATCATTCTGTCCCCTTTCACATAGCACAACCCCCATTTCTGTGTATAACGCCCAGGGCGAGGCAAATTCCAAACTTTAGGGACACCCCCCCCCACACACACACCCCCACCAAACAGCCCATGTAAGAAACCACCTTAGTTATGTGGCGAGTGTTTGCACGATATTTCAAGAGTCCTCAGCTCCAGGTGATCACGTGGCATCTGTATCCATCATAAATCTTCCCTACTGAGACTGTCACCCGCCTCAGTTCACTCCCGATATTTACACTAGACGGTGCACAATAGGCGAGTCTTGTGTGCACAGAACCATGCGCACCACGACGACGTCTTAACGCCATGTTCACATCCATTATTTGTTCAACCAACTTTCTTCACTTCAACGATGTCCATCTTTTCGTTTCTTTCATAAATTGTTATAAAAAAATTTCTTAGAGTCAAGGAAAGATCCAAAAATTCATTGATGTTCGTACTGCGCACTTTAAACAAATATTTAACCGGAAACGTAGTGGTCGAATACGGACTCTCTGTCTTTAGCAGTGGTTCTCAGTCTCCGGAACACTCCATTAAGCGGTGGTTCTCAAACCTCCGCAACATGTATCAATCAAATGTAATTTTTTAGGGCTGTTTAGAGAGTCCCAGAAACCTGACAGAAACCAATGCAAGCGTTTGATACTGCTGAATTCTAGTTATAAGAAGAATGCAATTTTCAAAACTTTGAAAGTGCAGAGTTGAACAAACAATGTTTCATTCATTCATTCATTTGTGCTTTTGAAATTGAAAAAGTCCATAAAAAAATTGAAATTGCATGTGTAAATTACCCAGAAGGGTAAGTATCTACTCCCCCACATACACCTCGAGAACACCTAGCCAGAAAGGTAAGTATGTACTCCACCACCTACATCTTGACAGCACTTGGACAGAAGGGTAAATATGCCCCCCCCCCCACCCTAAACCTTGGGAGTCCCTGCATCTTCGTCAAAACATAAAGTAAAAGGAACTACACATCTTGACAGCACTTGGACAGAAGGGTAAATATGCCCCCCCCCCACCCTAAACCTTGGGAGTCCCTGCATCTTCGTCAAAACATAAAGTAAAAGGAACTACTAACACAAACTTGATTTCAGTTTTCCTGCTCACGCCCATAGAACCTTTAGGAACAGTAGGACCCATAGGACTCTTAGGACCCCCAATGCATTACTTTCTGTAGTTGTGGATGTGTGCATGTGATTGTGGGTGTGTGTGTTTGTTTTGGGGGAGAGGGGTGCAATGAATCCTGTCATTATTCTGGCAGTGTTACAACTCGAGACTTGGGGACAATGAACTTTCATAACGTTAGATGCATCAAACAGACTGATGTCTGCATTCGCATGGACTACTGCAATGCTCTCGTGGGGAGTCTCCCAGCAACGTTCCTGGATAAAATTCAAAAAAGCACATAATTATGCGGCTGGCATTGTTCTTCGAAAACGCAAATTCGACCATGCTAAAACACTTCCGAGAGAGTTGCATTGGCTGCCGGTCCGCGCTCGCTAGAGTACAAAATTGCAACTCTGTGCTCCCGCTGCTTGCATGACCTGGCACCATCCTATCTCAAAGCGCTTATGACGCCTTATGATCATCTGATAATGGCAGACTCTCGATACCAAAATGCACGTGTTCGCCTTGAGACTTATGAGGGGCGCACTTTCGCATTTGCTGGCCCAACAATTTGGAACACCCTTCCTGTCGCTCTCAGAAACAGCCAGACACTGGAGTCTGTCAAAACTGATTTGAAGACTATCTATTTCGCAAACACCTCCTGGGGTGATGTTGACTATCTAGCTATTATCTTGTAGATGTATATTGGCCTGTGTTTATGGTTGAAAGATATGAAAGACTTAGAATGGGTATTCTCGTAAGTAGTTTTTGCAATGTTGTATTTTGTACTTCAATGTGGTATGTACCGTGTCTTGAGCCTTTGTGGATGAAACGTGATTTTGAAATAATCTATATTATTATTATTATCGTGTGATACAGTCGTGTTTCTTCTGTTATATGGTGATACCTTTTGTAACAGTCGTGTTGGTTCATTTATAATGTGTCGCAAGTCCGATTTCTTTTGAATTATCGACAGTCCATAGAAATACAGTTTGAGAATCGCCGAGTTCACATATAATTGTTGTTTGTTGGTTGTGACTGCTAGCATCGCATGTGTTCAAGTGTTCAGTGTTGGGGTCCTCTTATCTGCCGTATCTAAGTGAAATAGGTTTGAAGTGTCCACTTGAGTAGTAACGACATCTCGGGCGCTCTGGTGTCAACGAAATGATTGTACGAGTTGGCGCTACCCCCACGACGCCGATATGCGACCACCTACAACAGCGGTTCCCAACCTGTGGGTAGCAACCCCTTTGGGGGGGGGGGGTGGAACGGCCTTTACACAGGGGCCGCCTAAGCCCATCGGGAAACACATATTTATGAATGGGAAACCAAAATAATT